CTTAGATGGGTTGTGATTTTCACATACCCTTAAACTACCTTTCCCACACCCCTCCTTATTTTTTAATCTTCCATATATACCCTTCCTACTTTTTGATGGTAATTAATGAAAGATTAAATAAGGAGGGGTATATATGGAAGATTAAATAGTAGGATACCAATTAAGTACTAAAAAATAGAAAAGGGTGTGTGAAAATCACAACCCTCCTTAGATTTGTTGGCATGCCGAAAGAGTTCCAACAAAATATGGACCAAATAATGGGCAGCGTTATTGGATTGTTGAACATATACAAGATGTTCTTTTTAGTTACAAGTTTTGTGAGGAGTTAATGTGAGCAAGCAACGATGATTGTTTCTCACAACCCCAGATAATCAATGCCTACGGCGACTAATTCTCACACTCAAACAAATTAAATGACGGGCCAAAAATTATACTCAAGTTTCAACACACTTGAAAAAGGGCAAAAAGCCGAAAACTGAAGGAAAGAAAAGGCCTTGCCAGCTGTACGTAAGACTTTTCTGTGTTGAAAAGCTTTGACCATGGAAAGCCCACCACGATATCGTTTTAGCCTCTTATTAAGGTAATGCCTAGAAAATTAAATTTATCATTAAAATTTATAAATGAGTATGTTTATTAATGTTTAAGTTATAATTCAATCATTAATTTTTATATTATTTAGTTTACAAAATTTAGTTTATAATTTTTTTTTTTTGAAAGCAGTATATAGCATTACCTCTTTTTAAGGCGGAGTAAGATTCTCTCAATTTCTAATCTCTCTCTTCTTTCATCATTTTCTATTTAAACGGTTACTATTAAACTACGTCAACATCTTGTTTTGAATTTTTTATATAAATAAAAAGATAAAAAAGAGGGTGAGTAGAGGAGGGAAGAAAATAATAATAGAAGAGAAGAGAATTCTACTTCTAACCCCTCTCCTCTCTTCTATTACTTGTTTGCGTTCCCCCATCTCCCATCCTCTTTTCAAGTCCCACTCTTTTCCCGGTCAACAGCGGTGGACCCTTTAGTTATGTTAAATAGAGTCCCATCTAAGATAACATAACTTTTTAGTATAAAAAGTCACATGACAACTATGCCCGAATCACATTCTTTTTTATTTAAGTTATCTTCTTTTTTAGTTCAGGTTTCACAATGAATTAACTAAGGAAAATGAAACAAACTCTGCACTGTGCATGGTCATCGTGATCCATCGATGGACGATTTGAATAAAATGGCAAAATACAGGGTCTAGATTTCATTGTGTTACGTCCGCAACCCTATCAGAAAGAATACAAAAATATCCAAGCACGGATTGTTGAAAAGTAAATTGTCTACAGGTTTCCTTGATTCAGGTTGCTATGATTTACCTGAGTTAATTGGATAAATGTAGGGCTTAGATTTAATCTATCTATGTAAGGCTCATATGTCTTAGATTGTAGACAAGTGTCATTCTAATATTGGTGACCTTTTTGACGTAAGGCTCAAACTGGAGTGTGGTCACTGCTATGATTAGGGCAGCAGCAGTAGCCCTTTCAACTCGGAGGCAGATTATCTGCCATTCCACTTTCAATGTCATTTCGTGCATTTTTGTTTTGTGTGGTTACAGTTAAGTTATATAAATATTTTATATTTTTTTATAAAAATTAATAAAATAAAAAATAATAGTAATATAAAATATTGATGATTTAACCGTGATCACATAAATATAAGGACATAAAAGAACATGGAAAATGTAAGGGTAGAAAATCTGCCTCCATTCAACTCAACACCGAAAGTTTCCATCTCTTTCATCTTTATACCATTTATTATTATTACTTTTTTTTTTTGGAAAACTCTTTAGACCTTTTCTTTTTCTTCACTTTTCCTCGTTGAATTATAGAAAAAAGTAACATAGTAGTGTGTTGAAACCTGATTCCAGAGCAAAAGCAATAGAGGTACTTGGTTGTATAAGGTAAGAACTAAATGGCAGAAGCGATGGTATAAGTTAATTTCACTAGTCATCACCACAGAAGCAAAACTTTCAACAACTCTTAGATTTATTAACATGCCAAAACAATTCCAACGAGATGAGGATCCAAAAAATGGCCGATATTATTGAATTGTTGAGCTTATACGAGATGTTATTTTTATTAACAAGCTTAGGACAACATGAAGCGTATATAAGATTCATGACCTGCATGATTCCGGCTTGTGAACGCCTATGCACAGGTAAGTCTTACTTAACACCAAAATACCTTGTCCCTCTGGATGCTCAAATCAAAATTCTTTTTTATTTCCAACTGCCAACATCATGTTCTTCAAGGAGATGCCACGGTTAATGGCAAGACTTGCATGAAACATGTTCATCGTGATATAACATTTTGATTCAATAATAAATATCAGTGTAAATTTTTCTACATAGAATTATTACACAAAGACAGTAAAAAAAACCTTTGTATAAAATTTGCTATTCCGGTTGAGTGTCCTAACCCAACTTTTTCAACACAAAGTATCGATCAAAGATAGCTGTCATCCACATTACTAGATTCTCATCGTAAACAAAATTAAAGCAAAGCCACCGGAAAGCAAAGACCTTTAATCATAATGTACAGAAGCCCCTGTCTAAGGCCCCGTTTGGGATTGAGGTGATTTTAAAAAAAGCCACTGTGAAAAAAAGCTGAGGGTCATTTTTGTGTTTGGTAAACTGAAAAAAAAGGGCTTATTTTGGAAGCTGCTGTGAGAATAAGCTGAAAATCAAAGGAAAAGCTGAAGCTGCTATTTGCTGCTTTGAAAAAAAGCCAGTTTTTTCAAAGCACACGGAGCTATAGTGCTCCCTTAATTAAAAGACACACTATCATCCTGCTTTTTTTTCCAAAAGCACTTTCACAAAAAAGTTTACCAAACACTCTACTGGCTTTATTTCACAGCCGCTTATTCTCACAGCACAGCCGTTTATTCTCACAGCAGCTTTTTTTCAAAGCACAGCAATACCAAACCAGCCCTAAAGGTAGTAAGAAAGGTGTCTGAACATTTCAATCCATCAATTTTCTCGATCTGCTTCTTTGTTTCTGATTTTCTTGATACCAAAGCCATCTGCTTCACAGCATTCAAATTGCTCCTGATTCTTGCTTCTTCTTCTAGTTTTCAGATTTCCTGTCTCTACCTTTGATTCCCAATATATTTTTTCCGAGCAACTGTTTGCTTACCCAAACCAAACAGATAGCATATAGTTTGGGGTTGTTGGATGCTCATATTATATGGCAGAACAAATTGTATGCTTTGTGATCGACAAGTTAATTCAACTACTCATCACCACAGAAGCAAACCTTTCAAGAGACGTACGCAAAGAAGTTGGTTTCATCAAAGACGAGCTAGATAGCATCCGATCATTCCTCAAGGACGCAGATGTTAAGGCTGCAGCAGATGGTGAGAGGACAAATGACAGCGTCAAAACTTGGGTCAACCAAGTAAGAGAAGCAGCTTTTTACATTGAAGATGTCATTGATGAATATTTGCTCCGCATCACACGGCATCATCAAGATCGTGGATTCGTTCGTTTTTACAACAAAATTATTTGGTTGGCTAAGAGAATGAGATCACGTGATGGGATAGTTTTGAAAGTTGACAGTATGAAGGAATTGGTTCGTGAAATCAAGGCAAGAAGTGAAAGATACGAATTCAGTTCCATTGACCAGCAAGGTCAAGATAATGGCGAAAAGACTCTTCCGTGGCATGACCCTCGAGTGGCTTCGCTTTTCATTGAGGAAGCTGAAGTTGTGGGGATTGAATCTGCCAGAGCAAAGCTGACTAATTTGCTGGTCGGAGGAGCACCGAGACGCGAAGTGATATCAGTGGTTGGCATGGGAGGACTTGGGAAGACCACTCTAGCCAAGAAAGTTTATGACAGTCAGACGGTGATGGGCCACTTTGATTGCTACGCTTGGATTCCGGTGTCCCAGACATATAGGGTGGAGGATCTTCTGAGGAAGGTAATCAAAATGTTCTACAATTCAAGTAAGGAGAATTTCCCAGAGGGAATTGACACAATGGATGAGGAGTCCCTAATCAGAAAATCAAGAGAGTATTTGCAGCAAAAGAGGTATGTCGTTGTGTTTGATGATGTGTGGAAAGTAGATTTTTGGGGGGCTATAGAACATGCTTTACCGGATAATAAAGGCGGACGAATAATGATTACTACAAGGATTCAAGATGTTGCCGATTTTTGCAAAAAATCTTGTTTTGTTCATGTTCATCACTTGCAACCTCTGTCTCCAACAAATGCATGGAAATTGTTTTGTAGAAAGGCATTCCAGTTTGAATTGGAGGGAAATTGCCCTCCAGAGTTAGAAGATATGTCACGGGAAATCATTAAAAAGTGCGAGGGACTACCTTTGGCAATTGTTTGCATAGGTGGTCTGCTGTCAACGAAAGTTAAAGGTGTGAATGAATGGCAGAAGTTATACAATAGCTTGAGTTCAGAGTTACAAAGCAATCCCCATCTTACAAGCCTCACAAGAATCCTATCCCTCAGCTATCACCATCTACCATATTACCTCAAATCATGTGTCTTGTACTTCGGCATATTTCCAGAGGACTACTCAATTAATTGCGTAAGATTGATTCGGTTGTGGATTGCTGAAGGGTTTGTAAAATTGAAGAAGGGAAAGACACTAGAAGAGGTTGGAGAGGAATACTTGACTGAGCTAATTCACAGAAGCCTGGTTCAAGTGTCAAAGGTTTACAGGGATGGAAAAGCTAGAGAATGTCGAGTTCATGATCTTTTCTATGAGGTCCTCCTTAAAATGTGTGCGGATTCATGCTTTTGTCATGTGTTATCAAAAGACGAGTCAGCTTTTAAGCCAACAACTCGACGTCTCTCAATGGCCATTAGTCCCTCTGATGCCTTGGGAAGCATTACATAGACTCACATCCGTTCTGTGTTTACTTTCAACCAAAAAGAATGGCCCGAGTCTTTCCTCAATTCATGGAGTGGAAACTGTAAACTTCTGAAAGTATTGGATCTCATGGACGCTCCAATCAATCAACTTCCGAAATATGTGGGGGATTTGTATCTCCTGACGTACTTAAGCCTGAGAAATACAAAGGTGGAGTTGCTTCCAGACTCCATAGGCAATCTGCAAAACTTAGAAACCCTGGATCTAAAACAGTCTTTGGTGTATCAAATACCGGCCAAGATCAATAAGCTTGTTAAGCTGCGGCATCTTTTGGCCTACTACCGCAACTACAACATGGATTTTTGCATGAATAGGGAAAGAGGAGTGAAGATGCATGAAGGTGTTGGATGCTTACAAGATTTGCAAAAATTGTACTATGTGGAGGCGAATCATGGAGGGATCAAGCTAATCAAAGAACTGGGAAAGTTGAGGCAGCTACGAAAGTTAGGACTAAAAAAATTGAAACGTGAAGATGGAAAGGCTCTGTGTGTTTGTATTGAAAAGATGAATCACCTTGAATCGCTAGATTTAAGTGCAATAAGTGAAGATGAAGTCCTTGATCTACAATCCATTTCAACTCCGCCAGAATTTATTCGGTCTGTGTGGTTGAAGGGGCGTTTAGAACAGTTGCCAAGTTGGATTTCAAATCTTCAACAACTCGTCAGATTGGTGATTTATTGGTCAGGGTTGAGAGATTCCCCATTGAAAGCCCTTCAAAATCTACCTAATCTGTTGGAGCTTCGTTTCGGACAAATGGGATATGATGGCAGGCAGCTGCATTTTGAGGAAGGAGGATTTCAGAAACTTAGGATTCTTGTACTCAAGGACATGGAGGGACTAAATTCATTGATCATAGACAAAGGGGTTATGCCTCTTCTCCAAGAGTTTCACATTGGACCTTCCCCACAACTGAAGGAGGTGCCCTCTGGCATCCACCATCTCCAAAATCTGAGACATCTTTTGTTTTATGGCATGCCGAAGGAGTTTGCAAGACAAATGGATCCAAATAATGGCCCACATTATTGGATTGTTAAACATATACGACATGTTCGTTTTGTTTACAACTTTGGCCCGGGAAATGGCAAAGCTGAAAGCCACTCCCTGTATGATTCCGACTTTTCGTTTTGGTGGAATGCCTGATTCCAACTTGATAAAAAAAATGGGAGTGTCTAAAGACTACAGGCTTATGGGCCGTTAAGATTCAATTGTTAGCTCTGCTAGCCTTGGTTCTTGTGTAGATTGACTGGGAGGGGCTCTTTCGTCTCTATGGTTTTTTGTTTTTTTTTTTAAGTGTTGAGTCTTCTCCTTTTGTATATACAGATTAATTCAATGACATATATTCAATATAGTTAATGTTTGTATCCTGATATGGCACATTTGAAATACATAATATGCATTCGTATATATATATCCTCGCATGCAAATGTAGAAAAACAATTCTTTGTGGTTGTAAAATTTTATATACTTAATTATAAATGGAATAAAATTAAAAAAAAAATCAAAATTTACAAAAGAAATACAAACACAAAAACAATTCGGGAGCTCTGCTCTCTCTCTTCTACCCTCATACCCTCTAGCTCTGTGTGTTTGCCGCAAGTATGTGGGGGATTTGTATCTCTTAACGTATTTAAGCCTGAAGAATACAAAGGTCAAGTTGCTTCCAGACTCCATAGGCAATCTGCAAAACTTAGAAACCCTGGATCTAAAACAGGCTTTGGTGTATGAAATACCAGCCAAGATCAGTAAGCTTGTTAAGCTACGACATCTTTTGGCCTACTATCGTTACTGCAACATGGGGTTTGGCTTGAATAGGGAAAGAGGAGTGAAGATACACGAAGGTATTGGATACTTACAATCTTTGCAAAAACTGTACCATGTGGAGGCAAATCATGGAGGGATGAAGCTAATCAAAGAACTGGGAAAGTTAAGGCAACTGCGGAAGTTAGGCCTAAAAAACTTGAAAGTGAAGCTGGACGAAGGGCTCTGGTTCTGTGCTGCTGCTATTGAAAAGATGAATCACCATCTTGAATCTCTAGCTCATTTTAAGTGGAAATAATAAGAAGATGAATGCCTCTCTGAGAATTCCATTGATCTTTTTCCATTTCACTCCACCAGAATTTCTTCGGTCTCTGATGAAGAGTCTTAGAAGGGTTTAGAGCAAGTTTGCACAGTTGGATTCAAATCTTCAACACGTCGTCAGATTGGGGATTTGTTGGTCAAGGTTGAGAGATTCCCCATTGAAAGCCCTTCAAAATCTACCTAATCTGTTGGAGCTTCATTTAGGAAAAATGGGATATGATGGCGTGCAGCTGCATTTTGAGGAAGGAGGATTTCAGAAACTTAGGGAGCTAAAACTCGGGGAAATGGGAGGACTAAATTCACTGATCATAGACAATGGTGTTATGCCTCTTCTCCAAGAGTTTCACATTGGATCTTGCCCACTGAAGGAGGTGCCATCTGGCATCCACCATCTCCGAAATCTGAGATATCTTGTGTTTTATGACATGCCGAAGGAGTTTGCACAACAAATGGATCCAAATAATGGCCCACATTACTGGATTGTTAAACATATACAACATGACGGTTTTGGTTACAAGTTTGGCCCGAGATATGACCATGAAAGACACTTACTGTATGATTCTGACTTTTCGTTTTGGTCGAATGCCTGATTCTAACTTGATCAAAAAAATGGGAGTGTCGAAAGACTATAGGTTTATGGGCTGTTAAGATTCAATTGTTAGCTCTGCTATCCCAGTTTCTCGTGTAGATTGACTGGAAGGGGCTTTTTTTTTCTCTGTTTTTTTATTTTTTTTTATTTTTGACATGATGTAATGTGGTCTACCTAGCATTTTCCTTGTAATTTTGTTGTTGGTTGCAATAATTTTTTTTTATTAAAAATTAAAATAAAAAGCTATCATCACCCCAAACTCAAAATGCTCAAATGACATGATAAAATTTCATTGAATTTTTTATTAATGAATCAAGTTTTTACAGGAGATAAGTGACAACTATTTACCTAGTGGTTCTTTCATAAAAATGCTGTAAAATAAATAAAAAACTTCAAATTTCTTTTAGGAAACTTTATTAATCTGTTGTTTCAATTTTCAAGTCCCAACTTAAATTGGGAATAATTTTTAATTAATTAAAGTCAATTTTTTTAAATTTATATACAGATTAATAATTTTTAAATAAAATTGGATTTGATATAATTTGTATTTCTTTTTAATTTTGGATTAAATTAAAGAAATTTTTGGGAGGTTGTTGAAGTGAGTCCCTTGTTGCATCTTTCAAGACAATTAAAATGTATTTAATAAAGTTCAAAGTAATTATTTCCAAAATTCATACATGTTTTGAGCAGAAAATTAATTTTTTCTTAAAATCTAAATCATTTATGGATTAAAAGAGCTGAAAACAAAACTGTTACTTTAAAATAGTGTTATTAAATTTGACTTTATTTACTTCCAAACTTTACAATTAACTTAAATATATAATTTGTAGATTTCCCAAAAAAATCATAACCAAATGGAGATGAAGGAATTGTAGCTCCACCAGTTTTCAAAGTGAATATATACTAAATGAACAATTAATTCCAAGCTTATTTTGGGGTAATGCTGGTTTCCTCCCTGTACGTATCCCGCATGCAAATGTAAAAAAATAGTTCAACTGATGTGCAAATTAAAATCTAAGTCGAACTTTTCCCAATGGCAAAACAAAGCTAGTGGAACAGCCACCATTTCAAAATTATGACCGAAGGAACATTTCTCTGCTTAGCTGCTAAGTCAGTCCTCCTCTCCTCTCTTCCTCGTCTTTCCTTTTGTTGCTGATTTTGCCCTCTTAAAACTTGCCGCGCCTGCGATCTGGATGGCTGGCTGGTCAGGCTGAGCCAACGGGTGGCAACTCGATGATTTTGTGGTCTTGGGACTCAGGAGTTCCTTCGCAGGGCGAAGGCAGTGCCCCCATCCCGCCTGAATTCTTTTTGCATTATGGATGACAAGGCGCTAAAACCAATCCGAAATTATCGCCCAAAACAAATATCCAATCTTCCATTTCTTCTTCTTCACATATCAGAATTTTCAATTAGGGTTTCACATGAACCTTAATCAAAACTTCTACATATATAAATACATATACACATATATATTTATATATAAACTCTCTCCCTCTCTCTCTCTCTCTCTCTCTCCCCCCCCTCTGTTTTGGAATTTTGATTTCCCGGGAAAGTTTCGAACCCAATTTCTTAGAAAGTCCCTAAAGCTTTTCGAGGACGGGAGAATCAGCCATTCTCAGATTGAACTTTTAAATTCGCTGGCGCATTTGCCTGAAAGCTGGTTCAGAATGGAGGGGGAGAGAGGATGGTGAACGAAGAAATGGTTAGGAGGCTTTCAGGGAGAGGGACATGGATGAATTGATTGGACCCAAGATTGAGCTACGATTTCACTCGCCCCAGAGACATGAAGTCGGAGGCCGAGAGGCAGAGACTAGTGGGAGGCTGTCAGCAGGAGGTCAGCAGATCAGGTTATCAGTTCTCGCGTAAGCGATTTCAAAAACATTGTATTGAATTTTGTGAATGGTATATACATCATAAGACAATCAGGTACAAGAGATAGCAAATATATATATGCTAGAGGGAATAAAACAAGACTACCTATCCCTCCTTGATTTACGTCTAAAGCTAACAAAAAAAGAACAAATAAGACACATCCCTTGAATTAAGGGAATTGACAACACTATCTATCACCCTAAAATCCTTTGTACGGTGAACATGCAACCTAATCTAACCTAGTTGCCATTCTTTCTTCCAATACCCCCTCAAGCTGGATCAAAGGGATTAATTGATCCATTGCAAAAGAACAACTTAAGCTGCTGAAATTAGCAGAGAAGGTTAATCCTTTTATGAAAATATCCGCAAGTTTATCATGACTGCGCGTGTAGTGAGTATCGATCACCTTGGACTGAACTTGATTTCTGACGTAGTGACAATCAACTTCAATATGTTTAGTTCGCTCATGGAAATACAGGATTCGATGCGATGTGCATCGCGGCCTGATTTATCACAATGTAGGGACATGGGTTGTTGATGGGAAAACCTAAAGCCAACAGAAGGCTTTTGAGCCAAATAAGTTCACAGCAGTCAGTCGACGCATATACTCTGCCTCTGCACTAGAGCGTGTGCAACAACACTTTTGTTTCTTGCTTTTCTAGGTAACTAGGTTGCCTCCCACAAACGTACAAAAACCAGTGGTAGACTTGCGATCGAGAGAATTGCATGCCTAGTCAGCATCGGTATAGCCTGAGATCTAAGTGTGACTATTGTTGCGCATAAGAATTCCTCTGCCAATGGAACCCTTAAGATAACGTAGCACACGATGAACAATCTTCAAATGATCCATGCTTGGAAAGTGCATAAATTGGCTAACAATGCTAACAGCATATGATATATCAGGACGTGTGATAGTCAGATAAATGAGTTTGCCAACCATTCTTTAATAGTAATTAAATTGGAATTGGACACCGTGAGTTTTTAGCTTCAAGTTGCTATCCAAGGGGGTACGAGCAGGCTTGCAATCTGTCATTTTTGCTTCGTGAAGAAGATCCATCACATACTTGCGTTGGTTGAGGAAGAAACTCTTGTGAGAGTGCGCCATCTCGATGCCCAGAAAGTATTTGAAAGTGCCAAGATCCTTGATAGCAAACTTGTTGTTGAGATACTGTTTAAGAGCATTAATCTCTAACATATTATCACCTATCACAATTAGATCATCAACATAAATGAGCACAACTAGTTTACCCACTGAGCTGGAACGAACAAATAGGGAAGAATCCGCAATACTTCAACAAAAACCAACCCTTTCCAGAACATGACTGAGCTTGGCATACCATGCACGTGGATTTTGCTTGAGACCATAAATGGATTTATGGAGTTTGCACACCATTTCTGGATTGTTTGATTGAGGATGGCCTGGGGGTAACTTCATGTAAACCTCATCTTCAAGTTCACCATGCAGGAAAGCATTTTTAACATCCATTTGAAAGAGAGATCATGCATTGTTAATTGCAACCGACAACAATACTCTAACAGTGTTCATTTTTGCCACCGGAGCAAATGTCTCTTTATAATCGACGCCATAGGTTTGTGTAAA